GATGAAATGAGTTTTAAGTGAAAATATCCGAATGTTTGTTGCATTCACGATCGTTTATCAAAACATTCGCGTCAAAAACCTCTCACTTTTCACCATAAAATCTAACTCATTGGCATTCCTATACGTTTCGAAATTAAAAATCCAAATATGATTTACTAATGCATTGGGATGGATGTGCGGCCAAAAGTTTTAAATGAGGAAAGTTTTCAGAGAATCTTCTCATTCGATAAGATTACTGTAAAATTTGTACATTTCATTTGCTGCCGTTTTATGCGATTAGTGTGTGAGCAATTGAAAATGAGCTGCAAATCCATTTGCACCTAAAACCACAAACACACACACACACACATCGAACATTTCAGCGAAGTACTGAGATTATCGATTCTTATTTCCGTTTTTGCATCCGATTTGCTAACATTCTCAAAACTTTGAATCCCTCTTTCCCTTCCTCGCCCTCTCTCTCTCTCTCTCTCTCTCTTTTCTCTCTCTCTATCCGTTCCGAAATAAACCAAACACAATATGCTTAATTCAATATACAGTTCACCAAAAGCTGTGTTTGCTTTTCAAACAAAATCGTCTTCAGTTTGTTTTAAATAAACTCTATGTACAAAAGCAAATTGAAAATAATTTATTTCAATTTAACGAACAACACATTCAATTTCAAATGATTTGTGCAATAAATATTGGCCGATGTGATAAGGTGAACGCCGAATTGTATTCACATTCAGAAAAATCCATAAAGGCTAGTGCAGTTTTTCAGGGGAAATTGTACTAGTTCATTTTGGAAATAAAATTCCAATGTGGGGAAAATTCGTTTGAGCAGTTGTTTTCATACATGGAGAAAAACATTCCACGCAACGTATATGCATTAAACAGATATATCAATAGAGCCGGTGGTGTATAATTTTAATATTATTTGTGTGTCACGTTTGTTTGTCTGCTCTTTTGTTGAATGAAATCAGAAAGAATAAACGAAATTCTTCTCCATTACCGTTTTATTATCTCGGTATGAAGTTGTGGAGTGAGTTGGAAGTTTTTGTGGAATGGAGTAATGCAACAATAAACGCAAAAATTGAAAATTTATCGCACATCAAGCGATTTTTTAATATTAATTCTATTTACATTCAAAATTATTCGCACAAAAACGATGTGGCATTGAGAGATAAAGGTGATTTTCGGGCCTACAACTTAAAGGCTAAAACCAATCAAATTTAAGCGGAACAAAGACAAAACGCCCCATCACCAAGTGAAATAATACAAAGTGACGACAATCTAAGAGGAACATCTTACTATTCGAATGCAATGAATGTACACCAAATTAATTAGGTGCTTTAGTAAGAATGAAAAACATTCAAATGGAATGTGACTGTTTGACATTTTAAAAATTTATTTCCATACGAGTGACGGCGCCTAAGTTACAAGAAAAATTGTAAGAATCTGTCGTGGAGTTTTTCGTGCTGCACAAATGGAAACTGAACACGAGTCACACGGAATAAATTCAAAAATTTATGCCGATGAGAATTTGCAATGAAAGAAGAAAAACAAACAGAGAGAAGGGGAGAGGGAGAGAAAGGGACGGATACATACAGTGCACAGACAGAGAGACGCAGTGCGAGAAAACCATCATAAAATGTGAATCCAATTTCCTTTTTCGATTCAACGGCGAGGAAAATAAAAATTGGTTATCTTTTGTGCTATTGTTTGGTGGCAATACTTTGAATGCTGATTCGGTGCGTCGCATCTTTGGCTAAGGCACCATAACATTTTTGGCTATAATATATATGTAGAAGATACATTTAGATTTTCGATGCTTTTTTAGTTTTCTCTGGAATTTTTTTTATATTCATCTCGCTATTATTTGGTAATAGAAGTCTCATTCGTTTCTCTTTCACACACAAACATATCCATTTTCTCTCTGTTTGGCTGTTGATAAAGACAATGGTTGTTTGTACTCGTTATGCTAGCTAGTTAAACAATATATAAAGGACTCAATTTCACAAAAGAAAGAATGTCTTGGATAGATTTGTTTGTTTCGCACGCAGGCTTGTATATATATATGTGTGTGTATGTTGGTGTGCATGCCAATGTAACCAAGAAAAAAACGAATATTTTAGAGATTCACAAACTGTAATCAAGGACACACAGAGATAGAACGAATTAAATCTCAAGCAAATACAGCAAATGTGGTGATACCAAAAATACCAATGGCACTGGCATTACACCGATGGTAAAATCGTTGTCGAGATGTGAACATAGCTAATATTAAAAAAACAAGTCATACACTCATACTCGTGCACTCGTACACCCATAAAATTCACGTTTTACATTTGAATAAACTTCGTTTTTAATTAAATTTATGTATTACATACCTGAATGAAATCGTGCGCTCCTGTGCAATTTTAACTTTTGCCGCTTTTGCCATTATTTGTGAATAAAATTTGCGAAATACCATGCTTATTAATATTTACTTTAGCCACTGTTCCATTTGTTACAATAATGGGAATAGCACGTCAACCTTTTAAAACTGGAAAGCACATTTCAATTGAACTAACCAACTTGCTTTGAACTATCCCCTTCCACCGCTACCAATATCGAAACGGATATAATGTTTGATCCTTTCTCGTTGTTTGATAATGAGATATATCAACGGAAACAAAGCAATTATTTTCAACCATCGAAATGAACAAGAGATCTAAAAATATATACAGAATTATGTAGATGAATGGTGTGGTCAACACTTTTCCAGTAAATGTGCATTCTGGTTTTTTCATGCTTAAAAATACATGTGAAATTGGTATTGGAATATGGTATTTGAAATTCATTTGGATTATCAACATAAATGTTATGTATTCAAAATGAATTTAAAAATGGTGAATATTGAAAGGTAACCATTGTTTCTTTTTCTCATTTGGATTTATAGTACAGGGTCCTTAACTGATTTTAACAAATTTTTCAGCCAAATTGAGATTTTTTATTGTGTCTATTTATTTTAAATTCAACATCCAGATGTCATTCTTTGTCATACCTTATTGGAAATGCAATTCTACTCAGGAGTCCATTTCATCAATACGTAAATACATTTTCATCATTTACTGCATTCGCAAGTAAGAATCAGTGAATACATTGTGCTAAGATATTAGTTTGTCCTATACAGTAGCTCCTACTCAGTAGGCGCTTCGTTTCGGCTAAGAGCAGAGGGTGCTCATTGACTCTGTATGTGTCACACTATACACACAGAATAGCACAATGTATTCAGTATTCACTGGTAAGAATTAAGTATTCGACCATTCATATATAGAAAATTTAAACAGCAGCATTCCCATAAATAATTGATAGTCCAAATAAAACCGTCTATGACTTCATTTCCATGCTATTGAATGTATATTGTGCATACAAACACACACATCCACGTACATGTACACAATAATATGTTTTTAATTTTCAATTTTATTTCAAAAACAACAAACCATTCATTCCATTTGATTCAATTTTCTTTCTGAATACGTTTCGATGTCCAATCAAATATGATTTGGAGGCAAAAAGTGCATATTTTATATGACCAAACCATATTGCACATGAATGCGCATCATTTACGATATACAACAAAAGATTTGATTGTACGTTTCGATGATGACAATACGCACATAAGTATAGATGCAAATTCGACTTCGGTCACTGAATAAATACATATATTCACCTAGAAAATCATAGATCATTTCGATACTTGCTTGTGTATATGCAATATGAATGAGAAAAACTGAAAGAAAAGCAGAACAAACCCAAAAGTCGAGGTAACAACACTCAAGTTGCAAAGTGTTTTCTAAAAGATATTTTATTCGTCTGCGCTTTTAAAGTATTAAAGGATTCGAAACAAAAGAGCACTAACTAAACTTATTTCTTTGTCGACTTTCTTTTTCAGTTGTTCTTTCTCTCACACGTTCTCTCTCTCTCTCTCTCTCGCTTCCCCTCTCTTGTTTCTATTTTTCTTTCTCTGTTTATCATTTTCTGAGCTTCCGCTTTATCTAAGAGACAACATGAAAACTTAGCTACTACACCCACAATGAAAATGCAATGCCAAATCTTTAGACTTCCTTTATATATTTTTTATATTGTTCTTTCAATGAGTGTAGTCTGTTTTTTTTTTGTTTCATCTTTTGGTGTTTTTATCGCAATGAAAAGGCTTTTGTATTATCGGACGATGGATTTTTTGGTATGTTGGTGAATATATGCACGAAACCGATCGAAATTTCTGAACGCCAGAAAAAAGAGCGCGATATACATAGCATAAAGCAAATACTATATATGAATACGCATGCAAAACTTTCCATGAATTTTCATGTACTTATTGAATTTTTTCGAAATACGCATACAACGCTTACAATTTTATAACGGCTTCAATCACTCCGGTCGCCGACTGAATTGAATTCATTTTTATTGTAATGGCTTTTTGTGCGAGGCTGCTTAATACAAAACACTGTTGCATTGATTCACTTAAAATGATTGTTCGAATTTAATCAAGAAAAGTGTCGGGTAGGTGCATAGGAACTTATTCAATTGCAAAAAAGGACACACATACACATATAAGTGTAAGATGTAGACGAAGTCTAAGTTTTGCCGAAAATGGTATTTCACATGATTTCCAAGAGTTTGATGACACCAAACGTTTTCAACTTTTCTCCGAATTTAAAAAGCTCGTAGAAGGCCTGGCAAATGCTTTATATTCCGGTTGATCTTCGGCATTTTATTCATTGCAAGAAATAATCCGATCCATTGAATCCCTTCTTCAACTCAAGTTTTATTCAATTTAATCAATATTTCACAGTATAGTAAGGACCAACTCGAAAATAAATACCATTGAAAAATATATAAAATGTCTTTTTTAAAAGAAAACTAAATTGTTTTCAAAACTTTTTGAAGTATTTAAAATACTATTTGGAATATAAATGTATCATATTTTAATTTAATTATTTAAATATACTAACAATAAGTTGTAATTCATATTATTTGTCTGTTTGGGTTTGACGTGTTGATGCACGAATTGTGAAAAAGTATAAAAACTCCACAAGACTTAAAATACTAGCGCCAAGATAAAGGCTCATAATTCCACCAATTGAGACTGAAATGAAACCAAAAAAGAAATCGATTACATTTGAAACGGATTAAAGGAAATGGGATTTAAAAAAAGAACAGAAAAATGTGAAAGGCGACAGACACAACTCACCGACAATATCCAAATTGTTGCGAACAGCCTGTCGACGGTATCTTTGAGTTGGAAGGGATTGCACTATTATTTGTGTGATTCGCCTGTGTTCAGATTTATCTTCGGCTCTTTTTTTCATAAAAAGAGTTTCAATAAAAAATGACAATGCACACGGAAATACAAAAAAAGTGAGAATATATTGTATATCTTCAAGTAACCATTTCGAGTTGACAGTAATAAGTGGAATAAAGTTATTGAAAGTTCAACTCAAACTTTTTTCGACATTGAATTTCATTTATACTTTCGATCACACACAATGATTTTAAAAATAGACATACATTTGACTTACTTGTATGTTCGACCAATGAGCTTGATTTCATGTTCGTTGCATGATGGCAGACAGTCACATTTCAGACCATCTGGACGCCACGGTTGCATAATATGGGTTTGTGGAAAAAATAAGTCCGATCATGCCATCGTAATTGCACTGTGGACTCTCGTCTTTCTCTGATCCATGCAGACGAATGTCATTCAATTTTATTTGTGTGTTTCAAACAGAGAGAAAAAATTTAAATATGAAAGAGAGAGAGGAAGATGAGAGAAAGAAAAAGACAGTACAGAGTAGACAAAACCGCATCGCCAATCACCAGAGAAAATATGATGTGACACAAAAGATTACGAAAAAATTATGGTTGAAAATGAATTATCCTGTATCACTTCTAACATATGAAAACAAATGCACAATGTGAGCCTCATTCGCTTGCTGTATGTTTCTAACGGATTGAATTATGTGGGTTGAAAGTAGAAGTTTAGTGGCCAAACCAAACAAAAAAAAAAACACAAAAATGGAGAGAGAGAGCATCACACACATAATATTTACCGACCCATATACGAGAACCTATTAATCTTAATGATGATTTCACTGTATTCGGATGTACAGTACGTCTTACATGTCATTGCATGTTCGGAACACAACATATTTTGAATGTTGTTGCGGCCACAGGAGAGCAACAGCAACACATACATACACACAGACACACACACACGATTCAGACATTTATTTTACGATATATGTTCTGAAAAGCTTTGACTGCCATTTATCGGGCGCGGTACATTCTTTGGACAAACAATTCAAACCACGCAAATAAATAACAAAAAAAAAAATAGAAAGAAAAATGTAAATGTGTGCCATCGGTAAATGTGTGCCGCGGTGCAAACATAAGAAATATTATTTATGTACGCGAACAGCATTGCCATTCACGAAAATTTATGGTCCAACAACAGGCCATTTACGTTTTTTACTTCTTTTAATAGTTCAATGCACATTGTGCAAATCTAGCATTTAATATCATTTATATATCTTTTTATCCTTCTATATAATATTTGTCGATTTGAATTGCAAATGGACAAAATCCCATATCCAAATGGTTGTTTGGAGAGTTAAGATAATCCACATCTTCATTTCTTCGTGCGATGACAAGTAATTGAATGCTTGGATTATAATCACTTTTATCAACACAGAAGTGTCATGTTCAATTGAGTGTATTTAATTCAGTGGAAAAATTTAACTAAATGTTCTAATTCCCGCTATGATTTCATTAGATTCGGTCAATTTGAGATATATATCTGTGTCTATATATTTCAAAGTAAAGTGTACGTGACGATGCGTAAAATAGTAGAGAGTGTTGTTAAGTAACCGTATAGTCGTCATCGTCGTCTTTCGCAAGTATCAAAGAAGATACTACCACTAACATAGATATAGCGAATGAACTGTGCAGATGTGCTTTTCTATATATATGTAGAGTATGTTTTAATATTATTAATGATAAAATTATTAAGATACCGTCATAAATCATGCTGAAATGTGTGCAATTGCAAGCTTCTATCTGCGTTTTCTTCATACATTCGGTAACACATACACTGAAACTGTAATATTTATATTTCGAGCCGAAATTCTCGTCGGGAAAAATACACCTTCTTGATTTTTTACTTATATCCTGTACACCTTCATCATTTACAACATTCTGAACATTCAAATTGATATACTGTTGGATGCCACTGTGCAGTTGATTGAACATTAAATAGGTCAATAGCATATGTGGGACATCTTCTTCATTTAACACCGTTATCTGTACAAATTAAAAAAAAAGTACTTTGTTTTTGTTCTTTAAAAATTTAATAGATAAATTAGCGAACCGATGCTGCCTTTGAGAACTCCAATCTCAAAAAGTCTTGCATCTTCTCCGATCCCAACTTCATTTTGAACCATCTATCATCGCTCCTAGTGAAGTTGAAATAAGTTGTTGTTGCTTTTAAAATTCTTAAATGTTATTTCACGTTTATTATTTTTCATACCGGTTAATTAATTGGATTGAATTCAACAAAAAGCATTTGCCCATGGTGGTTTGAATTGGTAAAAAGTATCGACAGCAGTCAAATGGTTTTTCATTCCATGTACAGTTGATCATCAATTTGGAACATGGTTGACGAGTCTTTATTACAAAAAAATAAAAAAATAAAAATGTTGAAAAGTAGATATTTTGTTTCAGAAAGAAAACATTTATAAAGATATTTCCACATAGAAAATAGTATTATTTACACATAGTATAATATACCTTGTTAGCAAAATAACCATAATTGAATTCGGGACATTTTATGCAATTATCCGTACAATGTCGATACGACGAACTAGATACACATAAAATGTCGTTACTAGAAGCATTTAACTGGTAAAATGATGAGCTTAACTTACCAATATGATGCGAACGATCCGAAATGGTAAAGATTATAATACACAGCACGAAGTAAAAAATCTTCGACATCAAAATTAATATTATTTTCGCCGCCCAGTCTTCATTCATGGAGAACGAAACATGAATAACAACAAAACCGAAAATTCAAAATTTATCGAGCGGAAATTATGTAATGGTGCATGTGCATTATTATAACTATTGCAAGTAAAGTCTTTTGAAGAGACACTCTTAATACAATAAAATTACAATTATTTTCTTACATGCCATACTTACCGTCGCACTTCTCTATCCAACTCAATGTAGTCTTCTTTGACGTAGCCAATCTCACACACACCAATCGATGGAAAATATGTAACATCACTATGTTGAAGACTCTCAACTACCATCGAAACGCTGCTTTCATCAAAATCAATCAGCGTTTGATGAATTAATGAATAGGAACCATAAATCGACAGTAAGAGACAAAAAAACCAAAATATTCGCTCGGTATAATGAAATCTGCAGGCGGAAACCGCATCGTTTCCAGTGATGGGCAAAGATACTTTATCTGAGGTTTTTAAGATACTTTTGAAAATTATCTGAATGTCTTGAAGTATGCTCTCGAATGGTGCCAACTTCGACTTAAAAAATTCAAGTTGCGGTGGCCAAATTGGCCAAAAACCAAAATGTGACCGTCTGGTCGGACACATAACGGACATTTTTTCGAAAAAGACTGCATTGGTTCTTTTTAAAAATTCATCAATTCAAGCCCCCAGTCAAAGATAAAAAAAGTGCATACTTCACACCACTGAAAAAACCTCTGTTCCTCATTATGATCCATAATTTATATCATTTTGATCCAAAAATAATCTAGAGATCCATATTTTCATTGTATTTGAAAAATATTCAAATTTATGGGTCTTGAATCTTTAACCCTTAACCGGGCAGGTCAAAATCCTAACCTTATCGGGCAAGTGGGGCCTCTGAGGCTCGACGTACCTTTTCCATGCAAATTCAATGGGAAATTTTTTTTTCTTTTTTCTTTCATTGAATTTATACGACGAAAATTATTGTTTTAACATAAAAGATATTGAATTAAATATGTTTTTTGTAAAATATAACTGAAAAAATGAAAAAATAATCAATATTTACTCCGAATCGGATGAATTTAAGTTTCAGTTCAGTAGTTGTTTAGTACAAAATGTCATTTTAAAAAATCTGATGACATTTAATGCGATTTTATGTATCTTTTTTTTTTTTAAATGCGCTACCCGACCTGCCCGGTTAAGGGTTTACTTGGAAAATAGCGCTTACAAAACTATTGATATCAAATAAAAAACCTCTATCGAGGTGAAGAACGAGTGACGAAACCAAAATTTAAAACACAAAATTTCTGATATCAATTTTGTGACGAAAATAGTGGGTAGATATATTTTCTGTGTACTGTGAATATAAACTTAATATATATTTGTAAATTCGGAAATACGACAATTAAAAAATGTGAATACCGTGATTACCAAATGTCAAATTGATATCGGTAATAAAGATTTCAAGTTTTTTCCATTTTGTTTTAACATTCACTATTTCGAAAAATTTTCTCAAAATTGTTTTTGCATTTATTAAACCAATTGAAATAATACACTTAATAGCGTTGAAAAAGTTTTTTTAATGTTTGGAAGATAATATTCATATATGCACATTGTGAGACGTTGCTGAATGCATTGACATTTCGTCTAAAACTGAGAATACCAAGAATACCTTCAATTTCGGTGAATATCTCAAGTAATATTCCATGTGTCTACCCCCTAGGGTATATCTCCTCCACCTACCTTTGGAGGAAAACTTCTCCCCTCCCATTGCATATATAGAAAATGCTGTTTGAAAAAAATTCGTTACAAAAAAAATGAAAGATCTTAAAACACATCAGGAGACAACAATAACAACGTCAACAACAAAATTGTAATTTCATAAACTCTAATAATATTCTATATACACTTACAAGTTCGTATATGCATGCATGCAATTCGGTGATGCATATAGTGGTCGTCTTAGACAATAGAGTGAGCAGTCAAGCAAACATAATTTATAAAGGAAAGAGAAAGGAACTGTAAACAAAATTTATAAACGACTTTAAATGTGATTTTGACTGCAGTATTCTCTCTCCCTTTTTCTGGAGTGTTATTTCCCATGCATCATATTCGTTTTTTTTGTCGTTTGTTGAATATGGATGTGTGTGTCTTCTATGAAACTTTTCCCAAATATTGAGTTTTTTTTTCCTTCTTCTTCCTTTTGATGAAGACGATGGGTATGAAATTAAAATTCGATTTATTTCGTGTCAGTTTCAATTCATACTTTTTCTCTTCCGTGTTGAAACAATGGAAAGTATCGAATTCACTTCTTACTCTTGATAAGAATAAGGCCAATGCGTTATCTTTTTATCGTTTGAAACATTGTTTTCGATTCATATTCCTTTGTATTGTACAACTTCTTTGTTGGCAATGTGTATAACAGAGTGAAGTCAGTGAACTCTAATTCTCCTTCTCTCTATCTATCTCTCAACGCAAATTTCATGAATTCCAAAATGATTTATTATCTGTCAAATAAGTTTGCGTTAAGTAATTGTTTCGAATAAAAGTTTTGCTTGGCTGTCAAATAATTCTCACACTGTAAGTGGAAATGTAAGGTACAATAGAGATAATGAATAGATTTTGAATTTTTCTTCTCTGCGAGAGAGAAAATATACAACGTCTTTTTCTATGGATGAATTTTTGCGTCCGTTCCATCCGGTTCACCAATTCAAAAATCATGAATTTTTCGACAGAGAATAAAAACATCATGAAGATCATTTGGATTTTGTAGTATGGTATATTTTTCGTATCGACACAATGACACAATGACAACTAGTGTGAGTTGTACATTTGATGCGTTGTCAAGCGTTCAGCTTTTTCCAAGCGTAACCAAAGTTTATGAGCTAAAGTCATGTTTTATGTAAATATGTACTCGACAGAAGAGCCCAAACAACAATTGATTCTATATATATATACACACAAAAAAAACACTCAATATGACACGATTTGACATAAAATTCAGTTTATCCGAAGTCTCATTTATTTTTGGATAAATTTTAGTAAACAATTTTTTTTTTTCAATTTTTTTGTGCGTTTTACCGAGTCTCCGAGAGTTTCATATAAGCCTGCCATGTAACAGCAAAAATAAAGTCGAAAACACGACAAAAATATTTTTCACTTTTTGTGTGCATTATACCGAGTCTCCGAGAGTTTCATATAAGCCTGCCATGTAACAGCAGAAAAGACAGTTGAAAATACGAAAAAAAATTTTTTTCAAATTTTATGTCAAATCGTCTCATATTGAGGTTAGGTGTCTTTTGTGTGTATATATATTTTGTGATTGTCGCATTCTATGCCATAGCTTCAAGCTAATAATATTGTCAATGACACTGAGCTTTTTTTCTTCATTGGTGCGAAAATGTCAAAATGAAGCTGTCTACATGCAAACTCAATGGGCTGATCTTATTGTAGTTATCAGGTTAATTTTAATGACATTGAAGGAAAGGAATGACTATATTGAACAATGTATCTCCCTCTTCCCTTGTCTATCTCGATTTTTATGTGCTGAAAGTTGTGGCGGATGTTGAAGTTTCTTTTCGGTATTTGCATCATCGTTCATTTCATTCTTGCAAATGATGAACATTAGATCATATTTTCGTCTGTGCTTTGTAACAAAATCAAATCGGTCCGCATAATAAACATATGCTCTCGTGTCGAAATATTCTCCTGAATGTGGAAAAGTTATCGAAATACGTGACATGTTTTCTTTGTACATTTTTAAATGCTTTGTCTCTTCGGTGTACAGTGTGGTTCAAAATATAATAATCGATCTGAAAAACAAAAACAAAATGGAAAAAATCTTTTTTTTTGATTAGATTCATATTTACTGATAAAACGTGATATGTAAATAAGATTTAGAATTTTGCAACATATATTATGAAATACCCTGTGTATGCACAGGCACACATCTGCCAGTTGGGGCTGGTACACAATGCATAATCAATTTTTTTATGATATTGCACTGAAAAAGGCCAAGGATTTTCAATCTTCAATAAAAAGCTAAATAGGGAAGGGTAACGAATAATGCAACAACGACACAATTGAGTGACGTGTCTTTTGTATACAAAATGCCTAGTCACTTCTTTCGCTCACCATCAATTGCATTCGTGCTCATGGATTGTGTTAAATAAAATAAAAATAGTTTACCAAATCAGAATGATTCATTCGTTAAAATACGAATATTCGATTTGAAAATGTACACAACAAAACTCTTACTTTCAAAAACCACCATCATCACCGCCACCAATACATTTAACAATTCCCAATGGATTTCAAACGGAACAAAGATATAAATGAAAAACGAAATAATTTTCCGAGACAATTTTTACATAAATTTCAGCTAGACACCGGCAAATCAATATGCTATGACACAGCGATCGATGAACTCCCCAACGTTCCATAAATTTAAAATGCAATGAATATTTAATTATGTTCATTTGAAGTTTTCACGTTCATGTCATAAAATTCTCTCTCTCTCTCTCTCTTTCTTCTCTCGCACATCGAAGCTTATATTACTTACTAGAGAACCGAACGAATGTATGCATGTGTGAAGAAAGTGGTTTTTGGTTTTAAACACGTATCACATCCTGGCTGTACTCTTTTATTCAAGGGGCTTGGGTTGGAGTACAACTTTTACATTAGACTGGTGAGCATTTAGACGGTATGACTAAATAATGTCGAAATGAAAAAAATATCCATTCGGAGGTATTGCCTCAGAAAGCATAGTCCATGAGAAGATGTTGCCTGTCAAACCCCTTGGCAATATAATTTAAAGCCGTGTATTCGTTTTGAGCTCACATCGACAAAGTCTGCTTTGGCCAAATTGTAGCTCGTTAACGTGAATAAGAATATGGTTCTAGAATAAATTGTTGAATTAAATCGATTTACAACACACGGCAATATTCACTAAGCTACTAAGTAGCCAAATCAACCGCACAAATGCTATCGGAATTAAACCGAATTGAAATTTGATTTCATTTCGCTTTGTGGAAAGACACATGATTTTTCGTTTTCTTCATCGATAAATTGGGTTACATGTATTACATCCATAAATAAGTCATAGACTCTATACAAATTGTATGGATGTAAATAGACGATCGGCTTTGTATCTGTAATATATTATAGGCGTGTGTGGGAAAATTCGTGCAAGGGGTCGTATATAATATTCGGAATGTGAAGTCGTATTACGAATAGAGAACAGAGTTCTGGACAAAATCTGAACAAATCAAGAGTCGATAAACAAACGAGAGATCGTTTGGTATGTATTAATTTTGGTTTGGAAAAATGTCCGAATCATGGTTTTGATTGAATTCCCACGTCGCCAAATAGATAGGAGAAATGTGTGTATAATGTTGTGTGTATCGTAACACGCAACCGACAATCGAGCCCTATTTATGTTTATTGGCGTATTGAAAAATCAATCGACCTATAAAACCACCTCTAATTAAAGGCACACATCTATGATGTATGAAACGCTTTTATAAATTCTTTTTGAGTCGAAAAGTTACTTGTTAGCAATATAAACGATAAACCGGTAACGATTCAATCCGAAGCGTATTTTGTTTTAAATGAAATGATGGACACATAACTCGGTTGATCTGTGCAAATGACGTTGAAGCGAACGAGTAATAGTGTGTGCATGTTGTCTATGTGGGAGCTATTGTGTACACAGTCAAAGCGATTAATAATCAGACTATTAAGTTGTACGTTCAATAAAAAAAACCTGTTATTGCTGATTGGAATACAGTTATTCATATACAATTTGTAGGCTTTCCCAATCCTCGCCGAGTCGAAATACAAGGAGAATTGTGTACACCGTTTCCAATCGAATACCAACTGCTTGATTTTCCATTCATTTTATTTGAAGCATATTCGTTGGATGGTCAATGTTTTATTTTACGTTATACTTTTCGTTTCGTCTAGAATTGACGTGTTCCAAATGGATTGATATTTTGATATTGATGTAATTTTTTTAAGGTGATATTTTAAAGTGATCTATATCTTTCTATCTTTTCAAATGAAAAATCAAAAATCGTTAATTAATGTTGTGCAAAAGAAATCATAATTAATTTATTATTATCACAAGTATTCAATTCATTTTGTCGAAAAAAAAATCATTGTGAAATTCATGGATGAATTTGAATAATTTGGAAATCATCCGATTGCAATTGGTCTTTGCTTTAAATTGTATCCAATCCACCTGTTTTATGGTGATTGAATAAAAGTGATGGTGCCAAAGCTATAAGAAATAAATTCAATTCGAATCGTGCATATGCAATTTTTATAACATCCATTAAAGAGTCATAATGAAAACAGTGCATTTTTTTTTTTGCTTTAGGTGGTATAAAACGTCAAGTTCGGTGATATTTGTTCTGTAAATAGGTCTTTGAGTACGTAATTGGAAATAATCTTTGATTATATTAAGAAGCTTTGATTATATGCTATAAAATATCATTAAACGAAACAATTCAAAGTGAATGCACATCTTGCGATTTAAGAGAATTGAACGAGGTTTTGTCATTTCCGGATTGTGTAGTGAATAAAAATTGGTTGACGAAATGGAAATTTGCAATGGTAAACAATATTAATTTATTTTTTGTAATAATTTCGACACATTTTGGCATAATTCAACTGTATTTCAAATATGAGTAGAAAAATTAATGATTGTTTTTGTCGATGATCAAACTCAATACAACTTTTCCGATTGTAAAGTAGCATTTCTCCATTCTGTTGGTTCGATTGCATGCAAGTATGCTTTTTTTTCATCTTTTTCTTCCCTTCATGATTCTGGTTATTGCCCACTGAAAATGGATCACACAAATAAACAAGATTAATGAGCATGATGAAGTTTTAAAGATAAAATCGTTACATTACAACCTAAATCTATTGCAATTGCACGTAAACCATTTATTACGTTTTATAATTTATGATTTCTGCCATCGCTGAAAATGAACAAAATTGAAATGATGTGAATGATGGACTTAAACGTCAAACCGCTCAAATGTCGAGGCGTAATAAATTAAATATTATCGTTGGTTTTATGTGTTAATTCAATTGTTAAAATGTTTCATCAGGTGAAAATTGGCGTTCATCCAACCCTGAAAACAAACGATGAATCTCACAATTGCAATTGCAATTTGTTCATGACCCATGAACTTTTACTTCTAGTTTCACTGCTGTACTTTTCAGCCGATTCGGGTGTACTCATTGTAAAATTCAAACACTAACTACTATAAATACGTATGTTTAATACAATATATCCGTAGTTCGGTTTCAGTGCATACAATACTTGAATGTGGACATGAGAACACTAGAATTTATGTCACTTTGAGAACAAGTTTGACATTACAGAGCTCGACCAGAGCAGGTCAATAATATTTTCGAAAATTGGTTCGGTAGACATTTCTTATCGATTAGCAACCATTATGGTATTTCATTTTTGAATCGCTTAATGGGAGGGAGAGCAAAAGATGTTATTTGATATGGAGAGAACACAGATTTAAATGGTACGCTTCAATTGCATTTGCGAGCAATTCAAATGCATTTCCGAATACGGCATACTTTTGAAGTTGAGAATTTGCAAAGCGAAATCATACACTTTGACAAAGTTCACTGAATAAATGGAGTAAATATACTAATTATTTTTTTAACACGACTCTGTGTAAATTTCATCGAGATATTCTCAAGTTTCATGTTGGGTTGCGCGGTAGTGCAGCATATTCTCGGTGGTTGATATGCCCAAGCTATGTTTATATGAAACTTTAGTTTATTCAGCATGACTCGGCTCGTGGAAATACGCAGCATTTGTGAATGCATTTGTGAATGGGAGAAGTGAAATGGCGTAAAAGAAACACACACATAGAGAGAGATAGAGAGAGAGAGAGTGAGTGAGTGAGAAAATTCCGACACACGGATGGTTCTAATTCAATTCAAATGTACGTTTAGTTTCATAGAGCGGTGTGAAAATGAAATAGTTTTTTTAAATGTACGACGAGTCGACGACAATTACCCAAACATTAATGATCCAACAAAATATGCTTGCCATCTTTTTGAACATCCATGCATTACATGGCATGCACTTTGTCAACTGAATAAATATTTAAAACATTTGTTGAACAAATTCAATACAACTTTCATCAACTTTGTTGGCAATATTTTTAAATTGAATTTTGACATTCATGGGCAATAATCCAAATCTCTACAATCGCGTTCGTAAAGTTTTTTTTTCTGGATAACATACCGCTCTAACGTTTGCATAATTTTGATTGTATTTTCCATAACACAAACAATTACAAGTGACGCGAATAGTTTATGCATGATGTAACAACACACATTCGTTGTTACACACATTGGTTCCGTTGTAGATATGAGAATTCGTTATAAATTATGATAAAGAAATTCTTATTACATTTTGCTTGCTTAATATACTGGCTGATTCGTCGGTTTCAGTGCATATATACATACGGAATGTGGACCGTCCGTTCATTGGTGGCAAAATGTACACATAGCTTACAGCATATGAAGAGAGATACTTGATACATGTACCATAATAGTGTATGTAAACGCATGCAAACGAATTTAATGGCAAAATAAAGACGTCCAACACACACACACACTCTGATATATTCATAAATTTTCGCAATACTGAACGAACGAAAACTGTCCAGTGTCGGTGTGAGATACTTGCAACTCATATTTGTGCTATGTTGACTTATGGCCGGAGTGAAAGTTTATAAAAACCCTAATAAATTAATAGAGAAGAGATATGCTGATCTTGCAGATGGTGATGACCTCGTTAGCAATTTTTATAAGGGCTCAGTTGTACTCATTACAGGTAAATTTACTTAATTTTATTAGATTGTGATTTTTTAAAATAGAAAAACCATTTTAGATCACGCGATGCGTGTTTTTCCTTCTTCTTCATTACAGGAGGTACCGGTTTCATTGGAAAAGTGCTCATCGAGAAATTGCTACGTGTTTTCTCCATAAAACGCATCTATTTGCTGGTGCGTGTTAAAAATAACATGACAGTGGATGAGCGTCTGGAGCATTTCTTTCAAGAATCGGTAAACAAACAAATAGATACATTTCTATTTATAAATAAAATCTTGATAATATTAAACATATATGATTGGAATTGCATTATTCAAAGAAAAAAGATGCACCTGATTCTTACGTATCAAACAGAATTTCAACTGATCACCTTTTTTCGCTCTCTTCTTTGTCTTTTTTCTGCGCTATAGATTTTTGATAGATTACGAAATGAATCGTCCGACGTGATAAAGAATGTGAAAGCAATCGAAGCGAATTTTGAAGCTCACGATTTGAACATTTCTCAGGAAAATAAGGATATCATCTGGGATGAAGTTGATGTACGTGATGCTGTTTATTTTACTAACAAAACATTGACGTTCACATTTTTCACCTTTCGGATGGTGTATCTGTCAGCGTAACAGCTAGTTTTTGAAAATGTCATTGTATGCAACAATCGAAATTGTTGGAAAATAATATTTTTTTGTGTGTTTTGTTCGTTTTTTTTCTTCTTTCTTTGTCTATTGCATAGATTGTTTTCAATGTGGTTGCATCGGTAAAATTCAATGAAAAGCTCCGTGATGCGGTCGAAATCAATGTACTTGGCACAAAAAAAATTTTGGATTTAGTTATGGGAATAAAGAATTTAAAAGTATGTATATGTCACTTCTATGTCAGATTGAAATCGAATGAAAACAATTAGTCATTATTTAAAATGAATAGAGAGCGAAAGCTAAATATATGTTGTTAGCATTTCAATTTATGACAGTTTGATTTCGGTTGAGAATTGCGTTCAAAAAAATCATGTCAATCGATATCAAAACAAAACGCCAATAAAAACGATTTCTAAAACACAAATTTCAATGCCCACGTTGACCCATAATTTCGTTTCAAACATTCAATTTTCCTCTACATTAATATTTATCTTCATAAATTCGAAATACCATAAAATACTAAACGGAAACAAATTATTTGAATTAAATTAACTACTGAAATTCGACTCTCACTCTCAAGCAGAGATAAAAGTTTTATTTCGCTTGATTGTGTTTATTCATTCGGTGTCAAATGGTATTCCGTACAAAATGAAAATGAATGTGGTTTGATTGGTTTGAAACATTGTTTTAACATGAAAATGATAACCATTTCAGGCATTTCTCCATATATCGACGTTATACTCCAATTGTGACCGCAAATTGATTGAAGAGAAGGTTTACGAATCGGATATTGCATATGAAAAAATTATTCAAGTAAGTATATGAGTGTGTGATTTTAGTTGCACGTTGTCATTTTGTCAATGCCAATAAATTTCGAGGGAATTTGAATGAGCACTTGGTGTATGTGGCAGCGGTGTATGTCAATGGGTTTTTGTTGTCAAAATTTTGGTTTTCAATCTTAGAGAATAGTTGCGTTTCAAATCATGACTAACTATTTATGATTGTTTCGCTTGTGTGAGCTTTTGGCTTTGATTTGCATTCGCTGGTCATTACATGGTGTGATACAAGTGATATATCGTCAACCATGCTTCGATGTGGGCCCAAGTTTGATACAACCCATTTCATGTTTTGCACACGATGAATTATTAATTCATGTACAATATCCCAAAGTGCTTGGAAAATCAAATGCTCTCTATTGATTGAATGAGGTTGTAACAGTGGCATTATATCAAATATATTGTAGATGCTGCAATCTCCACTTTGACGATGAACTAAATCACGGTTTACACTGATATTATGTGATTTTTTTAGTTATTTTGATAAAAAACACGATTATTCTGATATTGTTGAATATATTTTAACAACAATTATTATTTAATATTATTCGGAAAACATTTTCGGTTTCATTTATAGATCACTAGAATTTTAGATGATTCACATTTGGAAAAAATTCATCATTGCCTTATTGGGCGTATGCCAAATACATATACAATGACAAAACAATGTTCGGAAAATTTAGTTAATCATAAAGCGCATGGTTTACCAGCTGGCATATTCAGGCCCCCAATTGTTCTTTCAACATACAAAGAACCAGTAAGACAAAGAATTTTATAAGTCTATTCCATTGTATTCGTTTGAATACGAGAATATTTTTATGATTAAATTCGTTGCGGACTCAATCGTACATGAAATCAAATGATATTGGATGGTGCGGACGATTGAGATTCGCATAAAAATGTGTCTCCATATTCTGTGTTAAATTTTGAATTCCATTCAAAGGTGGCCGGTTGGACTGACAATTTATATGGACCTAGCGGCATCTGTGCTGGCACCGTTCGTGGCATGGTACACGTTATTTTTGGTAATGGAAACAAAAAAGCCAATCTTGTTCCAGCTGATTATTGTGTAAATGCTATGATATCATCTGCATGGGACACCAATCGACGGTAAGTTATATCAAGTATTAAAGTTCATTTTCTACACCTAAAAATAGATTCAGTAGTTCAAGTGAAAATGTAAAAATAGAAATATTTTAAATGCAGTCAAACACTTACATTTTTATGTCGGTCAATTTGACCTTTTCTAACTGTATGGGTCTTTCGTGTGTAAGACTCTCACAGTAAGAGGAGTATGTGTGTGTGCTTGATATATATATCAAAGTAGACTCCTTATTTGAGCACACTTTTCATCACGGAATAATAAAATTCACAAATTACGTCAGTAGATTCGACGTCAATTTCTCTTAATGTCAATAGTTTAATAGCTACGTCAATTTGAATGTCACTTACCTTTAATACTCCGTGAACGAAAACTTCATTAAATGATTACCTATTTAGCATAGAGAATGAACTTCAATGAAGCTCTATTCTGACGTATTACGTACGAAGAACACCTGAGTTATTTTGAGTGGATTTTTGATATGAATGACTCAATTAGTGTAATGCATCTGAAGATAGTTTATAATATAAACACCTTCAAGATGATTCATGTTCTCATATAAACATTTTTAGAGCTTTAGTCCAGTGAATCTGGTTTTGCAATTGCGTGTTTTATATAAAACTGTTTTGTTTTTTGTTCACAGTTTCAAATTACGAATGGAAAATCACACTGAAATACCTGTTTACAACTATATTTATGATAAAAATAATTTAACTTGGGGCAAATATATGAATTCGGTGCGGAAAGGACTGCATGAGCCATTGAATAAAGCTGTCTGGTAATAAATATAAAAGTACAATTTTATTGCACATTTTACAAATCAAAAAGTATTGTCAGATTTGAAAGAAGAATAAAAAAAACGCATCAATAAAGAAAAAAACGGCAGCGATGCATCTAGATTAAAAATTGTTTTACGTTTATCAAAGGCAATGCGAATATAAAGAGTCTGGATTTTCAAATAATAGAATGCTTTACAACTTTGTTGATTTTTTTATTTCTTAATATTTTGACGTGTCATTTTGTTTGGTTCAGTGCTGTGTGACTCAAGAATGTCCGTTATTTATCTTGTCAGGTACTATTCGTACATAATTATATGGTGGAAGCCGCTTTTCAATGTATGCGATATAATTTTTCATGCTGTGCCAGCCTATATAATGGACCTGATAGCTGCTGTCACTGGAAAGAAACGAAAGTAAATTATGATCAAAGCATTTTGTTTTTGTGAATATAACTGACAGATTCGTATTTTATTAATCTTTTTTTTTTCGTTGTCTACCTGTAGGTATGCCAAGAATTATCAAAAGCTATATCGTGTTTTATCTATGATGTCGTTCTTTGGATTACGTGAGTGGAAATTTTGTAATAAAAATATCGATCAATTGTCTACGCTGTTGAAGTCACAGGAAACGCTTCAATCACAAAAACATAATGATGCAACTGAATTGATTCGATGGCAAAATGGCATGAACTCAATGACAACGACGACTACATACAAAAATGGCATTATCAACGGAATTTGTACAACTGACAAACAATTCAATTGCAGAACACAAAATTTTCTTGAATTCGATATGCAAACCATCAATTGGGATGAATATTTTTTTCATTATTTGCCCGGCATTAAAAAGTATTTCTTTAAAGAGCCCGTACCGGCCAACAAAAATTGTATCAAACATTATGGCAGGTATGTACATACAGAAAACAGTTGATAAACTGTAATTTTCCAAGTTTCATTAACGGTTTGTATCAAAAACAACATTTCAGATTAAAAATCATGCATATTTTATTAAAGTCAACCGCATATATGCTTTTTTTGTTCTTGAGCAGTTCGGCAGCTTTTAAATACTTACTTTCTCATCTATACTCGATGTAAAATGGATTTTGTTTGAGACTTTAATTTTATGTTCGAACTTAATCTTCACAAGACATATTTGTGTAAATGATAGACTCCCACTCACAATAAATGTAACGTAATTGTTTAATCATTTTGAGAGAATGCATCTGACTGAATTCACACGATTTATTTGAAAATTGTTGAATATTTGGTGTAATTTGCGGAATTTATTTACTTCATGATAAATGGATTAAATTAAATACCTTGGTTATTTTCAATAAAATATGTGGGCGAAATACTCAGTGGCCAGCGATTGTTGAATATTCCATAATTCAGTCATATTCATTCTCTGATATAATTTTTAAAAAGACATAAGTTTAAGTGTGCAATACATATTTGATGGTCAATTGTACAAGTATTTGGCAATTTTGTGTGAATTATACTTGAAAACAAAAGTTGTTGTAAAATTTCAATTTAAAGTTATAGGGTTTAATGAATTTCCCCCAATTTAAACTTTAATTTTATAATCAAAAGATTAAGAGACGATGAAAGTAATTTCATTATCCTGAATTAGGGAATTTTAATTGAGTTTTTTTCATGCTAGCTTTTTCTTGAAATCAAAAGGGAATAATATATTGAGCTTTGGGAGATGAAAAAAGCTCCAAAAAGTGTCGAAAATGAAAACAAAGCTTTTGTTCAACGCAAGCTTTCTAAGTTTTTTTTTAAATGTGACTTTGCCAGAAGTGGAGCTTACTTTTCAAAATGCGTACTTGTAAGAATTGAAATTTATTTGAAGAAAAATGAAGAAACAAATGGAGTTATAACTTTATTTCAATTGGTATGTTTCACATTGTTTTGAGGAACATTAACGTTGATCCTTCAGTAAAATGACATTTCTTTAAAAATATTTACCCAAACTTAAATAATTAATTCTATTTATGGAATAAATTAAGGAGCGAAAATTTTCATTTTTTTTTTTGTTTAAAAAAACCTTTCATCCGACCATTTCAAAAAATTAATACTAAACTTAAGATCGACATTAAAAATTAAACATTTTCTTTATATTTATTAATATAGATTTATACTGTTTATGTTGATTTAGATAAAAACCAAACATACATTTTTAATAAACTGACATAGATAAAAAAATATATGTACATCATACATACATAACCTCTTTTGCTTTATCCAATAACCATTTGTCACTGAATGATTCTATAAATTCAAATGGTTTCACGAATGTGTTGTATATATGTATTGTGTGGGATTGGACCCCGTCAAACTAACAAATAAAATTATGATTTCTCTGTGTGTTTTTTTTGGAACATCTTAAACCTCCAACATCAATACTTTGAATTTAAAAAAAAGTAGAGTGGAGTGGGGTAGTGGTAGATGTAGAGAAAAAAGACTTGGTACCCATCGATAGATTCAAAATAAAAAAATCACCATCGCGGTGTTGAAAAATTCTTTACATAATAAATTGTTCATTGAAATCACAGATTAATATCGTTTTTATATTTGCTCAATGATATACATGAATTGTTGAAACCATGCAAATAGAAATTGTCGTTTGGCATAGTTTCACCATTTGTATTTGCATTGCAGTTATTATAAATGTTATTGATGCGAATAATCTCATTTCGAAAATCGGTATCATCACCATCATTATCATCGTCATCATCATCAGCAGCAACAATATCGGCGGATTCATCGTTCTTAAATTTGTTGGCACTACATTCGGGCTTACATAAATTTATTTGATCCCATTCGGTTGTTGGTTTTGTTGACATCCGGCATAATTCACTGTCGAAAATATTATTATCTTTGCAAATTGGTTTTCGACCCTGACAACAACAACAATGTTTTGCTGTGTCATGCGAATAAATAGTGGCTGTTTTCATGTTGTTTGTTGTTAATGGTTCGAGCAATGTATTTTTATTGTTTTGCTCAATTGTTGTTGTCTTCTTCATTGCGGTTGTTGTACAACTTGGATGATCATTGCCCTTGCAATAGATCTTTGAAAAACAAACACATTTTTTATCCTGCCATTCGACAACCGTACTGTTGGCTACAACTGGTGACTGATTAAATGGCCACGATTTCGTCCAATTATGATTTCCGTTCACTATATTATTATTCTTAACCGATGGCGTATCATTGGCAATACGGAGCGCATTATAATGTTGCAATGAATCATTTCCGCCAACAATGCGTTGTGGTATCATGAATTTTGCTTTTGTCGATGTTGTCGTATAATTGGAACGAATTGAACTAGCACGTGTATACATGGAAACATTCTTTTCGCTAACATCCGTGTGCTCGAATCTTAGGCGAAATAAAGGAAAACGTCGCCGAAATTCACGCTTAAATTTTTCCTATGAATAATAAAAGAAATCAAACAAATATTATTTCATCAACAAACCGGTATCGATCGATGTTGTTTCAATTGATGCATTTCAAATAATAACATACATCCATAGAAAAATAGAAAAACTTACATTATAAATGCCATAAATGAATGGATTGTAACAACTGTTGCTCATTGCCAACCAATCACAGCAAAACCATAGGATATTTATATACTTATACGTGTTGACACCGTCCCACGTAACATATAAAATATTGTACAGTTGCAAGGGAAACCAGCAAATTCCAAACAATAACACCACAATAATTAACATTTTAATCACCTGAAAATGAAAAAAGAAAAAAAATTTAAATGTCATTGTTGACCATTTAATAGTGAATGTGAACGAAACAAATGTAAAACACAAATTTCACCGATATTTGTCAACAATGGAAACAATTTATATTTTCTTACTCGTTTTTTGTTTCGCATAAGTGTAATATCACGTGTATCCTGAGCATTTCCCGGCGTTTTTGAACCCCATAAACGAATTGCCATTTGAATGTATACAAAACTGATAACGCCAAATGGAATGAAATACTAAGCATTGGATAAAACAAATAAAAATCAATCATTTATCAAATTGACGTTTACTTTTGTAGATATTTGAAAGAGACGCGTTTTTTTTAATTTTTGAACAGTTTGATTTTCATAATATTACAGTTCGGTATTATGAAACAATTAGTAAAAAAAAAATGAATGATATACTCTGTGCAAACAAAAACCATCTTACAATGTCTTACATCCATCTTCGACAATGCTTCTAATCTATCGAAAAATCCATTACATTTCAGTTCACATGAATGGACGCTTTTTGAATGTCAGTCTTTATGATGGTAATAAGTAATGGAATCCATTCATAAAATGAGTTGAATAATTTCATAATCGGTCTGGACACTGACATTTATTCGGTATAAATCAAAATGCATATGTAACATCATACACATGTTAAATGATTTTCAATACGCCGAAATAGACTAGAAGAAGTCGAAATGAATATAGAACATTCTATATTGAATTTTTGTTACGAAATTGTGTTTTTGTTTATAAAATTGCATAACAATTTCTAAGAAATTAAATTGAATAACAATTTTATGAAAACAAAATCATAACAGTTTAAACAAAAGCTTATTTTCGTCATGTCAACGCTCGAATTTTCGAATGACAACAAACAATTTCATAAAAAATTATTGGAAAATATTTTCATTATTCGATACAATATTTATTAAAAATTTACGCAATTATTCAAACATTTCACATGATATTCGCTTCAAGGAATTCAATGAAGAATGTTGATTTCATAACAGAACAATTCGGTACAAACCTGTACGAACACCAAATAGTATCGATATTGTTTGAATTTATCCGCTTGCATATTATCAGAATCACAGAATGGATACTCGAACTCTTGACTAGTTTTGTCTGGCACTGTGAAAAAGCAATAAACATAATAGGAAACTTATTATCCGGAAGAAAAAAAATGCTCCAACTGACAATGTTGTTGGAATGTTTAATAAAACATAAATTTTTTATGATATGTTGCAAAGATACATATAAAATAACATATATAATCCACTTACACACTTGAACTCTTTTCTCCGTGACAACTCGCAATGCAATCGCCATTGGAACAGAAAATGCTAACGAAATTACCCAAATGAATGCGATTATGATTTTGGAAATATAACGAGGCGGACGAGCTCTGAAATTTGGAGTAAAAAAAAAATCATGAAAATCTCAGTTAACTTAATAAACATAAACAAATTATTGTATTCTATCTTTCTTCCGCCTCTCGTTTGCCATTTTTATGAATGAAAAAAATATTTATTCAAAAATCAAGTCGGTCAGTCATGAGCGGAAAATGTTGTTTGTTATGAGTGGTAAATGGAGAAAATTATTACCTTCAATAATATTTATCATGACGGAACTTTCAATCAGATATTATAGGCACGAAAAGACATAAAAACACATACCGCAAATAGGGAGAGAACGGAATCCAATTGATGCAGAAAAAAAAATATATATGCTACAAACATATATCACATGCGAATGCGTAGGTTACGCATCGATTGAATCACGTTTTGTTTATATATGTCATTGGTCAAATTGAAGTTCAATGCACACAGTATGTGGTGTATCACTAACGCAAAATGACTCTATTCAGAAAATTTATTACCGTTTATATTGCACACAAATTGTTCCGCTTTAACGATATGCTATTAGATTTACTTATATCATACATATAAATTATATGTGGGATTGTTTTTTTTCTCTATTTGATGGTGAATAATGATTCGATAATCTTTAAATTTGCTCGAACCATGTGCAATCGACATTTAGACAAAAAATCGAATGTATTTGAATTTTCTATTGAAGTCAACCGAAAACTTTACCCGGACCGATTCAAAGCTCAATTGAATTCGCTCCAATTCAATTTTTAAAAATATATATTATCCACCAATACGATAGCATAAGCTAATACGCAAAATTCATTTTTGCTTCTATGCAGTCTTTCCAAACCATTATTATTCCTATGGGGAATTACATATTCGTATTCCCTATGAAAAAAATTATTTATAAAGTCTCTACATCATAACCTTAATATATCATCGATCTGAGAGAAAATAATAAGAAACGAAGTTGTCATTCATTTTCACGTTGTGAAGTCGATTTTTTTTTTGAAATTTTGAGCATAAATATTTCCAGGTAAGTAACGAATTTTTAAATGTCTAAAATTAACATGGATAAAAATATATTGATATAAATATAAATTATATGATTAAAAACCAACGATAAGTTCATCTAATTAAATTTACATTTGAAATTAAAAAAAGGTTCCATATTTTTAAAAGTTTCCATTCAAATTGAACGGTGTGTGCCGTTCAAAATGTGAACCAGTATTCATACAATGCACATAGTCACTGTGAATGAGTCGCTGTGAATGAGTCGCTGTGAATGAACTGTCAAATAAATGGTACACATTCACAACGCACGAGCACTAAATACTCTTTACAATTTAATAAATTTCTCGTTGAATAAACTTTTTCGAATGAAAATAGTTCAAGTGAGTATTTTTTTCTAAAGATGTTTGTTTTATTTATTGTTACCGATACGTTCGAATTTCGCTTGAACATTTTGTGTGCTTTTTCGGCCCCTTTTGTTTACATCATGAAAATTTCTTTAGAAATGTTTATTTTCTCATTCGACCAAATATATTCAGCAATAAATATGTCTTTATATGATTGCGATTCGAAGATAGAGAGAGAAGGCTCAGAATGTTTAATTGTGATATTGAGCGAAAATTTTGTTTTTTTTTGATGATTTGACAAGATAAGTTTTTGAATTGAAGCGCGAATGTTATATTGAAATTTGACAGCAGCGCCTCTAATGGTCGGTCATTCAATCTTGTCATATTTGACATTTATTCCTTGCAATATTAGTAATACTTCTGTTCTGTGTTCGCACTTGTAAATAACAAAAACTCAAACAAGAGACGAAGAAAAACAGGCAACAATTTAAATAAACAAGCAACTATATACCGCATTATACATAAATTAAATTTTGTACATAAGTGATTGGACGGTGGAAATTTGATTGAAATCGGCTCATTTATAAATCAAATGACGCTGGAAGTAAACAAGTTAACAAATGATCCGACAGCAGCATGGCGAGAAATGGCCAAAACGCAACGTGTTATCAAAATTACAATGAAACCGCCGAATCCAGAAGTACCAAATAATAAAGTGCGTGTTGTTTGCATGAGTGATACACATTCATTGACGCCACACATTAAATTCGATATACCCGATGGTGAATATTTCCGAATTGTTTATCTTTATCGGCTGTCTGACAAATATAAATGCCGTTCAACGAAATTCTTTCATTTAAAATGTGAATTCTATTAAATTATACAATTTCAGGTGACATTTTTATACATGCCGGTGATTTTACAAAGTGTGGACGAAAAGAGGAAGTCATTGAATTTAATACATGGATTGGTAGGTGTTTTATCGGCCGATTTATTTTCTATTCATTCCATCTAATGCATGGTAAAATTGTGATTCACAGGACAATTGCCACATAAACATAAGCTAGTGATTGCGGGCAATCATGAGCTAAGTTTTGATCAAACGTTTACACATCCATTTCAAAATTTATCGAGTGGAGCTGATAAAGATCGTCGCTTACATACAGGTACATCGATCCTGGACGAAATACCAACATTGGGTAATTCAAAAGAAAGTCTAACAGCAGCCGTACAAACCGAAAATGTTCGACAGTATTTGACCAATTGTACGTATCTACAAGATGAATTAATTAAAATTTATGGATTAAATATATACGGAACGCCATGGCAACCAGAATTCTGTAAGTGGGCATTTAATGTTCCACGCGGTAATGATTGCTTAGAGAAATGGAATTTGATACCATCAAATATTGATGTACTAATTAGTCATACACCACCGCTGGGCCATGGTGATCTATGTTGTACCAATGTTCGAGCTGGTTGTGTTGAATTGCTGGCAACAGTGCAACAACGTGTCAAACCAAAATATCATATTTTTGGCCATGTTCATGAAGGCTACGGCATTACCTCCGATGGAAAAATAATTTTTATAAACGCATCTACATGCGACATCAATTACTTGCCACACAATCATCCCATTGTATTCGATATTACGCTACCGCCCGGTGTTAGCAAAGATGATTAATGCATCATTTATCGCTTCTGCTTTTGATTCAGACCAAAATCGAATCCTCACTATTATAATACCGCCGAGAGTCTTTAGTTTGAGTTTAAAGTTCTTTTTTTTAAATAGACTTGAAAAAACAGTCTAAGTGATTCGCTCAATATGTTATATTTGTATTTTATAGTATGTTTCTTCTGTATTTTAAATTGATGTAACGCTTTCAATTTAAATAACGAAAAAAAGACAGAATTCGCCAATTGTATTTATTTTAAAAGAAATGAGACAAAAATTTCGAAAATTTCATAATGAACACAATAAATTGTAATTAAATATTAGAAACCTTATTAAATAAATCGACAAAAACAAAAAATTTGGTAAAGAAAATGGTATTTCTTTCTATTTATTTTCTTTCGAATTTTACTTATAACCAAAATCATTTTTGGATGAAAAGTACGAACAGTGTTTAATAACCAACATTTTATGTTCATGTACGTTAGATACTTTTTTCAATTGTATTTGATACGCACGAATACCGTTTCCTACGCGGTCAAACGTCTTTGCTATTAGATAACTCGAATAATTTATAAGATCTTATAGTCAAGTCTTACTTCAAGCTTTAATGGAAGCATCCCGAATGTATGGCGCTGATTTAAAATATTTTCAAATTTTTCGCATAATGAGCACATGTAGGTATGTAAACCTTGTTTTTGAAGGTGGGATGTCATCATAACGGTTCGAATAAAATACGAGCGTAGGTTTTTACCAAATGGCAGACCGCAAGGGTACAATTAGATTTGCCGCCTGCGTAAGTAAAGACGTGACGTCCTTTTCCTTTATTCTGTCTCAATAATTTACTTTTCGTGGACTCGTATAGTAATGAGAATAGGAGAGATAAAAAACATGTTGATACAGGCACTTCATATAAAATTTAGCAATCATATTTTATTTCAGACGCATATCAGCACGCCAAAATATGTTTATATGAGGCAACAAGATAAGAAGAAAAAAAAGAAATTATCGCATTGTTTCGAATATTGGTTAAAATATTAATGACAAAAGCGAACCCATAAGAGGCCGAATTTTTCCATTATTATTACTTTTCCGCACACACCTAGTATGTAAGGTAAAGTATTGGAGTCGGTCGAAAAATTAACACCCATCAAAAATGTGTTTTCTGTGTGTTTTTGGGGCCAGGGAACACGAATCTTGCGTTTTTTGATGTCCGAATGTATGTGCGTACCCTGTACACTGTACGCAAAAATTTGTTAACACGATAACTTTCAAACAAGAAAAGTAATTCAAAATGCCGAGGAATAGAAACCATTAGATTTTGAGCGACTTTGCTTGATAAAGTGACTTGTCATGTCTGGTGTGATGATATGTATTGGGGGTTTTTGGGTACGAGAAAACCGAATATGACGTTAGTTTTGCGATACAAATAATTTTCGACACACTTTTCATACAAAATTCTCAAAAAATTGAATTTTTGTATAGAAACCATGCATGTATGATATCGTAATGAGCTGAAACTTTGCACAGGTTATTTTTTTCACACACCAAATAACATTCCGAAGGTTTGAAGAGATTTCAATGCATAATAAGGGTCCTCCCGAACAAAATTTTGGATTTTTTGCTCAAAAACGAAAATTTTGTATGGAAGGTACCACTCAATTGTATTGAAATTTCTTCAAACTTTCAGAATGTTAACTTTTTGTGAAGAAAATAACATCTGCAAATTTTCACATGATTACGATATCATACGAGCATCGAAAAGTCTATCAAAAATTATTTGTATCGCAAAACTTATATCAGTTTTCTCATGAATTCATATTTACGGTAAAAAATGCGTAATATATGCCTGTTGTGGATCACAGTGCGGAAAAGTTCATCTTACGGATGTAAGACATTTTATTATTTTTTTTTTGAAAAGCTGCCGGTTTGCAAAGATGCCGACAATTTGTCGTTTTTTGTTGTTGTTTTCTTTTTGTTTGTTCGTGAAATGTGACGCATGTTCCACTAAATCAAATCTAAAACGAACAAAAGCATTCGTCACATCATTTTTATAATATTGTCACGTATAATATCAGAGACCCAGAATATCTCATCTTCAATCACTAAGTGTCAAACATACACAAAAATACGAAGAAAAGAAACAACGATATTTGAACATCAGTTTGAAATCAACTGGTGGATTTAAACATTTCGAACTCTTCTCTGCTCTTGATTCTCGGAAGTAACAAAATTGTTTCGCACTTTCGTGATTTATTTTTGAACAATGTTAAAAGTGAAAATCAAAATCTACTGAGCAATTACGGTATAATCTCCTTAATTAGTGCGCTCCAATCGTCTTTGAAACGAGGACTTTCTTTTCTATTTCTATCGATTACTTTTTTCGTTTTTTAATTTCATTTATTGTATTCAGTACTAAACAGGAAAGAAAAGCTCGTGATTTGTCTGCGTTTCTTCGTGTTTCATAAGTAACAACAACACCATTGTCCTTCTGAGTTGCTCTATCTACTTTAAATTCAAATGCGCGAATGATATGCTGAGAATGTGATTGAATTTAAATTAGATATTGATGGATTGCATTTGTCGATGTACAAAAAGGAAATTATAATTGATGAAAAATGCAAAACTAAGTGTGTTCATAATATGTCATACCAGCAAATCTAATGCCCATCGTCTCAGGGGATTCGTTCTCTACAACCTAGAGAACAGAGTCTATGTGTCTACATAAATCTTGCTTAATGTGTATACACTTTACCGATATTTTTCTCTTTTGTTTTCATTTTAAAATTTGATTTCAAAATTCAGAAAAGCTTTTTATTAGTCATGTTTTTCGCTTCATCCACTTAAAATAGATCCGATTTATCTTTGTTGTTCATTTTTTATACGTTTCGTTCTATTTTCTGTTGTTTGTTTACGTGTGTGTGTGTGTGCTTACGTGTGAGATAAGTTTGCAATTTCATTCAATAGGCATATATTGTACAGCGCAATATATTGAAGGTCGTAAACATTATATATGTCTTTTTAATAAGTGCGAACATTCGTGAAATTTTCAATAAAAGCATCGTGATCGACATTGACTGGTGCCATTGTATTATATTTTTATCTTAAAAAATATGTTTTTCGCGCCGTTCACTCCATTTTTCGGACGTTAATTTGTAAATAATCTTTGATGTTTACTTGCGACCAGAGACAGATAAAGCGTGTTAAGTACATATAATGTTACTGTTATTCAGTTATTCAATGCACACAAACGATAATCCACGATAATCAAAATAAATGATAAAAGCTAACACTCAAATCTCAATCCATTTGAAGTATTAATGACTGTTTTGTTTTACATTTTAGACCAATTTCGATCAAGTTTGTCAAAAGGAAACATTACACTTACTCATAGCTGGGCAGACAGGGGGGGATTATCCCCTTCTGAGGCATCGAATTTTTGCGTTACCCCTTTACAAAATTCATGATTTTTGATAGAATTTTTCTCATTTTGCTAGGGTTTTTGGATCATAGATGAAATTTTCCTATTTTGCTCCCCCCCTCCTGAGTTTTTCAGTCTGCCCAGCTATGCACTTACTACAATTTGCACAACGCATAAAATAGTGAATTCTAAATCAACAATTAGACGAAGGATAAAAATAAATCATTTTATACCATCTTGTATTATATAATTACCACACTGGAACAACCAAAAAAATTCAAAAACGACATCACAATTGATTGTTGTCGTAACGAATGCGAAAAACGTAGATATACATGCCACCCATTCAAATCACATTCCGTTGTATCCATACACGTCTCTATTATAAGTGCTTATTTCTGTTTTTCAAACTTTTTATGTCAGACCTCATTTAACCGGTGCCGTTTTACCGTACCATATGCGTACACGTAATGATGGGATGCATGAATATAAAAAATAATATCAACGGTTGGCCATAACTTAATCTAGTACTTGTGCTAGTAAATATGGATTTAGTGAGGGGTCTCCTTTTTTTCAATAAAAATAATCATCAAAAATGAGCTGACAGTTTGCCAGAAGATATTTGGTCGAAATGATTGGCCAACGCGACTTTGACCTTAGGGCACAGGATAAAAGCGATTTGGTCATAGTTTTTTTACTTTTGTTGACATTGAATCCAATGTTGGCAATAGGCATTTAATATTTGATCGTTTTCAGCTCAAATGAAATAAAAAATGTTATCGCTTTAATATTAAAAATTCAAATTTACGAAAAAGATTTTTTTTGAAATTGCAAAATGGAATAGACACATATTTACAAAATTGTGAGAGATTTTCTAGGAAGAATAAAAAAATTGATGTGAAAATAAAACGAGAGATGTGGATATTTCTCCTCAGTGTGTGCATGTAGATTTATTCAGTTTAACAGAGGACACACAAACATTGAGTAAAAAAACACCACATTTCAAATTAATTAGGAAGTCGTGTCAATTAAAAAGAAATGAAAAAAAAAATTGTTTAAAACTTTTATTCCATAAAACGACAATTTAAAAAAAAATTAATCAAAACCATAGGAGAAAGATGTGATGGAAATGGCCTCTTTCTTTTTCATATATCGCTCAGTCAGATGTGATATTTCATATGTATGAAAGTATCTCAGTCTGTTTAAAACAAAAAAAAAAAAATAGCGGAGAAAATATATGCTGTTTTACTTCATGAGCTTTTTCTTCATTAGTCTTCAATAAATTGGATGAAATAAAATTAGAAGTCTCGTTGTCTGTTGTTTGTTTTTGACTGCTTTTTAGTACTTCAAAAGTTCATGTTCATCCGAAGATATAAAAAGAAGATTAAGATCAACGGATGTAATACATTGCCATAATGGCTTGTTCAATTTGGTTTCTCTCTGGAAGTTTTTTTGTCGATGTCATAACTTGAAATTGTTGGTGATTTTTTACTTCAAATAGAAACATTAGAGATAATTATGTTATTTTCAGATTATAGTTACAGTGGCTGAAGCGGCACAGAGAACAAAATAAATCTCAGATAATGTGTGACTCCCAATGTGTATGCATCCATAATTTGAGTATTCAAAATGAAAATCCACAATAATTTCAAATTATGGCATCGGCCAAAAAAATTCCAGAGAAAAAAATGAACAAACCACAGCTACATGTAGTATCAAGAATTTATGTCAATGATTTTTGGCGCCACAAAAAAATAATACCACTGTGACTGACTGACAGTATATAATACATATTGTGTTGAGTGACTGACATATAATAT